GTCCTTAATTTTAATCATCTGAAATTTCTGTCTGTTTTTACGATTGCCATTGAGTGTGAATTAGCATTTTGGAGGAATATTTCTGGCTATTCACTGACATATATGGTTATCTTTTGAATGTGTTATAATTTGTTTCTATTTCTCATACAAATGGTAGGATACTCGAGTGTCTAAGCTAAAAGTGAAACATAAGACTTTAGAAATTAATTTTTTTCTAATGAAGATACCTTCAACAACTTTTCGCTTTTGGGGTCTCAATTCTTTTATTAACGGTTCTAAATTCGGCGACTTATTAACATTTTGGAGATTTCAAAGATCGAATTTCTATTGGAAAAATCTTTAATTACGAGATCTGGGAATTTTTCTACGATTTTTTTAAAACATTGTAACATTGATAAATTTCCTTCAAATAATGGTAATATATTGAAATTATATTTAAGAAATAACATTAAAATAAAGCATTTTTGTTTTTCAACGACATGTTAAAAAGTTCCATTTTGGCCACATATTATACAATATTTTGAATCCAAAAAAATAAGCAAGGAATAATGCTATAAAGCACAGTTTACAAAACAGTTTCTAGCAAAAGCAAAATAGCTGTGTAATTAATTAAAAATGTCTTTTAATTTTTTCATGGTAAGAATTTTTCCCATTTCTCTGGGGACTGCGGGATCGACAGTGTTAAAGTTAAAAAATAAGTATAGTCTCAATGAAATGTGATCAGATCTAGTTTTAATGAAATTTATTGAAACATTCTAAACAAAAATACGCTTAGCTTTACACATGTTACAATACGAAACAACTATTTTGGTAACATTTTTGGCTACCTTTCATCCAAATAGTTCTGAATTGTCATCATGACATTTCGAATAATACTTTCGGACTTTATGTGCGTCTCCTTCCTTTTTGTATAATTTATGAATAATTTAAGTCGGCAATATTGCACCGCTTGATCTCAATATTGCCGCCGGCTCATCGCTGCCGGCTGAACGGAAAGGATAGCAAATTCGCCGCCGGGCTCAGCGTGTTAAACCTTTACCGTGGTCACAAGGTAAAACACAAAAATATAAAAATTCATGTGAAACTTATTCTTTGCATCTAGTGAGACTTAATGCAAAACAACTTATCACCGCTAATGCTTTAGTGGCTTAATAGAACCTTAAAGTACTATATTAACTGAGTTACAACCCCTGGAACTCTACATGAAGCTACAGAGGTCAGCTAACTTTCAAAACTTGCTAACTGTACCTACATCAGGCCTTTCAGGTTAGTTCTGATCAACAGGCCTCTCTATAGGCAAGCAGGAGTGACAACAGTCAGTCTTTTGTTATAAATCAAGCTGATTATGATTTTAATGCTCATTTTAACCTATGCTGCTTGACATGAAATCTACTTACTATTTACTAAACCTCTAGACTGAGCAAGTATGTGACAAAATGAGACATTAAAAAAAAAAGCATACTGTTAGTAAAACGTAACTAAAATGTCACTTATCTTTTTTCAAAATATGTCCAGTTATTATGAGTGTAAAATACTATTTAATGCTACTTGATAAATTTCATAAAATTAATTTTATTCTCAAACATATTAATAATTATGTTAATTAAGTTATGTTTAATAATAATGCATCCTACTCTCGTTCAGGCACAGATATAATATTTTTAATTGAATTTATTCAGTTTCCATTTGCTCATAGGTCCTTAATTTTTTTCATTAATGGTCCTTAAAAGTACTTAATTTACTTGTGCAGAAATGTGTATGAACCCTGAAAGAGGATGGAGCATTTATTTCTCATAAAAAAGAGCATTCTCATCAAAATAAGCCATATTTTTAGCTTTATGAACCAAGACTGAGACAGATAGCCATTAGGAATCTGAAATAGAAGGAGTGAGAGACAAGGTCACCAGTGAGGTACGCCCGAGTAACACGTGCCCACAAAAGTATAGATAACATTACTTAGGAAAGCAGCAATCGTAATTGAGATAAGCATATACCATTAAGAATGAGATTTAATAAGGAGAAGTAACATAGATATATAATAATGGTTTAAGAAAGAGTACATGCCCAACACAGACATGGATGCCGAAGTTTACATATCACGGTGAAGGCACAAGACTAGACTGCAGTCGTTAGGTAGATGCACACAGACTGAAGCCGTTACTCAGAACTGCCGGGGAAAACTTGTCTCTCCCTGTCAGCCCGTAGGATTCCAAGCAGGTTTACTGTCTTTGTTTGTTGTTTTGCCAATTTGTGGTTTTCTCTAGAGTTTTTGAGTCTGTATCACATGTTTGGCGCTGCTGCTGCAAGCTTATCGAGAATCGACTGAGGTTACATCTAGTGAAAGTGCAAATGTTTTGAATGTGCTGTGATATCGCACATCTGTATAATTGGTGTTGAGCCATGTTGCTTGGTTAGTTTCATGGTTGACAGGATAACGTGTAAGTACCCAGAAGGTCTTTTCCCCAATCAGTTATGTAATTTTGTCATCCTTTATGTAGCAGAAGTCACTTACATATCTGAAAAATCACTTCCCTACTACAGACAAAATTTTTTTTTAAATTCTCCATATTCTGTTTTTCATGTGCATTTTTAATCTCCAGTACAATGACTCCCTGCTTGTTTCATTTGCAACAATGAAAAGTAGACATAGTAATATGAATTAGAATAGAAATTTAATTTAAAACAGATTAGGTCATTATCTGAAAAATGCTCCACTTTGTTAAAAGTATGCTTTCTCTGTGCATTCCGGGAAGAAGTTAAAGAATGCTTTTTTGTTGGCATTTTCTTTCCATGAGTATTCTGCAGGATATATGTCAAGATTTCACTGTTAATCTCTTCATAAAATATTTAGTGACCAGATTCTTCTGACTCTAAATGATATGACCTGTTATGTATAATTAAATAACACTTGAATCGTATTTTACTTTTATTAAACTCCATAACTTTTCTGCCGTTTGATTAATTGAACAAATGTATGAAACATATGCTTCTGTTATAGTTTATCAAAGCTATGCAGGACTTTTATTTGCATATAGTAAGCACTGCCATCTTTCTTATAACTTAAATAAAAGTAACCATATTTTAAATTTGATTGAAATACCAGGAAAATTGTCTGAAAATTATCTAGTACGCAGTAGGTCCACTTCTGGACTACAGAATTACAGAATCAGAACGGGGACATGAAATCCAGGAGTTGTCCAAAGGAATCTGCCAACACATCATGCCTCATGAAGAATGATTGACTCTTTGTAATATTCATAGGAGGGAGATCTCTACTTGGAAGGGAATGTTGTATGGAATTCAGACCTGCTTGATAATATTAAGATCTGGTGAACAAAACAAAGATGCATGTTTCTCAAGCTATTATCTGGTTGTGGGACATAACTGTAATACATTATCTTATTAAATGAAACCAGACCCATGTAAGTGAGCCCATCAAATAAATGGGTGTCACATATTTGAAGGGGTATTTGAATAGCATTCACTGGTTAAAAAAAGTTTAAATGTATGGGGTACTTTAATTCATATTAGCAGAACATATCCCATTCCATTACTAGTCACTACCAGCTTACATTTGCCTTTGTTGACATGCTAGATTCATTGATTAATGGGATTTTTGGAATCTTTGATCTCTTCATCTGGCTGAATCAGTTAGATAGATAATTTGTTACATCAAGATAATTATTTCCGCTCTTTCAGTAATTGACATTTAAAGCCTATATTGTGCAAAGAGCATGGTAGTTTTTTACATTGTCTTTAATATATTGTGCATGTTGCTATCATCCACAGTATTTCAACAGTTGTATTGTTGTTGTATGCTGAATATTTTATTTGAGTTTGTATATTAGACTATATTCTTGAAATAATTGAATGTGACCTGTCTCATGAGTACATGTTGCTGCATCCTGTTCAAAGTTAACACAAAATCTACCTTCATTGCAAATTCAATCTTTTAATTTTCCATGAATATCTCTTGCTATACATATCTTACTGGCAGATGAAATAATTTCTGGGCACTTCACTGTGTTTATAATAGCCCTTCATTAATAGTTTGTCAAAACTGTGTAGGATCCTTATTTGTGTTATTCATACACTATTCTATAATATTTATATAATGTTCCCTGTCTTTAAAATGAAGTTGTATTTTGTATTTTTAGTTTTCGTAAATAGACAAAACATTCTTTCCTTCTCATTGTTCCCACTAGAATTTAAATTGCTGAATTACAGAAAACTAGTAGTTTGGTCTAGGGTTTCATTTTCTGCAATATTAACTGACAGCGTAGGTTTTTTCCTATGCTGGTTATAATATAAATATGAGTTTGTTTCTCATGAAAAGTAATGTTTAGAAATGTAACAATTATGTTCTATTGTAAAATCAAATATGTATTGTTAGCTCTGAGTCAGGAATACAATTAGATCCCAAATTAATATCTATCTAGGAACTGTTCAAAATTATAATTAAATAGAGGAAGTAATTTAAGTATGATGTATATTATAAAATGCTAAAATTTTTATATGTTCTTCCTAACACTCCAGCTATTGTATATTGTACATGAAAACAATTGTTAAATTGGGTATGTTTAAATATTGATTCATGGTTCAGTGTAATTTAAAATAAAATTAATGCTTGTCATTTATTATGTAATGTATACTGAAAACAGTTTTCAAATCAACAAATAAAATGTACTTTCATTTTTTTGTGATTTTTATGTAACTAATCAAATAACGGACCTTATTTGTGCACAGCGGCCGACTTCAAGCCTCATTAATGAAGCAAAAGTTTAATAAAAGTGGAACAGAAATGTATGGAAATATTGGAAATATCACAAATCGACTGCTTATTATTTCCTCAAAGTATAGCAATAATTTAGTTAAATTGAAATGGATGTATTTTCTTTTTTAATGTAACCATTATTGATGCTAATGTACTTTGCAGTTATTTTGCATTTTCATCATGTGTGCTTTAATGTGCAGCATAAATGTACTTTTATCTTTCACAGATATGTCACTGAATGAAAAAAAGCGACATAAGCAACTTCCAGATATCTACTTATCGGAAGGCATATCTAGAAGCAAATCGTTTGCAGGACTCTCTCACAGACGGACATATTCTGTTGATTTGACATCTTCTGGTATCAGTGCTAATTTTAATTGTTATTTAATTAGCTTATTGCATAATGATCGGGTACCAATTCATAGTAAATTACAATATTTGGTAACTGGGCTTATATTTTTATACAAAATTTTAAATACATTAATGGTATTGTCCGTACAAGTTCTGAATTTCTTACTTGCTTTTCATAATAAATTCATATTTTTATTTCTGTGCTTTGAATGAAAATTTGCTTTTCGAAGAATTTATAAGCATAATTATTGCGTATTTTTCTTACACTTACCATTGTTTTTGTCAACAAAAAAGAAATTGGAAACACAGTTATTACTAAATATAGATGACCAAAGACTATATTTTTATATGTTAAAGTTTTTCTTTGGCAGCATAAATACTTTTATTTATTTTTTTAAATGTCAGTCAAAATTGAATTGGAGATTCCTTTTAGACTACTCCTTTTTATGCAAATCATCTAATTAAAGTAAATTGTTCTCAATCTTACATGGAAGAGGTAGAATTGAACTGTAGGATAATCAAAGCTGCTTGTGCCATTGACAGGTAAAAGCCTATATCTCTAAAAATTCATCTTTTTAGTGTTTGATCACTGTTATTTTTTCTTGCTTTCTGGTAATATGATGTTTTGAAATTAATGCATGACTAGAACGTAAATCTTTCTTTAGTGGAATTGTAATAATAATATGCATGTCCATCTGCAGAACTTTGCACATTCTGCAAAGCATATAGTTAAACAACTTTTGCTGCCTGAAAATGTTAATGTAATATGTTCAAACTTTGTGGGTGTGTAAAGCCTCCTCATGGAAGCTGAATGTAATTAATTAAAAAAATTTTTTTTTTTTCCATGGAGATATGTATTCACTGGTTAGATGGGAAAGCTTGTATAATATTGAATTTCATTTGACTTTAGTAATGCTTGTGTTTAGTATTTTGTGACATACCATGATTAAAAATCCATGCAATGCGAGTTCTTTGCCCCTTTCATTGTCTAATTTATGTTTGTACTTCTATCTTTCTAGAAGAATGTACTAATAATCCAAGTAATGGATACACACAAATGTACAAAATATCTTTATATCCATAAAAATAATAGAAGTTCATAATGTAATCGAAGAATCTGATTTTTTTTTTTTTGGGCCATGGAATGAGCAAGAGATAAACCTCATTTCTATTTCATTCTGAAATACAAGTAATGTTATGGTATCATCTAGAGGGGTGACAAGCACTTAATGCAAAGCAGCTTTCTCTGTGAATTTCTGCAAGATTTGATTTCAGTGTAAATTTAGTTAAAAATAGCTTTTTTTTTTTATGATACACTTGTATACATTAAAATAACTCTGATGGAAAGCAGTTGTTTAGAGCAGGATGCAGATTTGTGAAAATGGTAAAACAGCTAAATGTGTAAAATAGAGCAGTCTGTGCCTGTGGAAGCAATTAAAGAATTCTGAAACTCTTTCCAGAAAGCTGAAACAAGTTCATAGTAGAAAGTACTGTTTCTTAAGCTAGTTTCTTTTTGTAACAAGAAGAGCTTGGATGGTAAGCAGCTGAGTGAAGAGCTGCAGCCACTACTAAAAATTTTAAACAAATATGTACAGAAAAGCTATTAAAGGCCTTTATGTCAGGAGATCTGTTCTATGTTTTACTGACTTTATGACAAAGAGTCACTTGAATTGGTACAGAGAGCATTAAACCTAGAGACCAAAGGGTCTGCTATCTCTTCAGTTTAAGTCATGGTTCAGTTGAATATCTGATTTAAAATGTACTTATTTACATCTGGAGAGAGTTATAAACATCAAATTCTGCTAAACAAATCATTTAACAGTTTTTGAGAAATCAATATTGTTGTGCATATGGAGATAATTTTGAACTTAAGTGTATGTATTAATAAATGAATTTATCAAATAGTTCATAAGAGGGTACCAAGTCAGAATCAGAGGGTGATCGCAAACAAAATGAAAATAAGACTGAAATTTAATGCACACATCCCCCCACATATGTATATATTAAAAATATTTAAATTTAATTCATATTCAGCTTAGAGTTAGAAGGTGGCAAATATAAAAATAAAAATTGTTTACAAATGCAATAAACCATTGTAAAAAAAATAGTCCAGCATTGAGATTAAAAGTTCAAAATACGTTGCAAAAAATATAAAGTGCAAAAAAAGCATATAAAAAAAGAAATCTAAGAGGTAATGCAGTAAAATCTTATCTTCTTTGCTTACATAAAGTTGTAGGGATTTATATTTATTTTAAATAACCAATTTTATTTAATTTTAAGCTTTCCTATAAGCCTTCATTTCCCTAATTGTCAATGCCAGAATATTTAATTTTGGTAGCACGCATGAAGGTATGCAAATTCTATCTTGTGAAGAAAGAATTTAAAAATCGTTCAGAAGGAAAGTTAGATTTAGGCTGTTGCCGTCACCTCTGTTGCATGAGCTCCTTCTCCCGAAGTTATTGCTGGTTTACGTGGCATAACTGCATTTACTTGTTGCCACTAGTTTCGATGTGGGTTTAAGAAACAGGAATATCTGAGCCCTGTAACTTAAGTTCTACTACTTGTTAACGTCTTTGAATTTTTAGTATAGTTCTGTGATTTCAGTTACCGCCCAAGGGAGGTGTAGTGTGTTAGCATCAAGTTAACACATTGTAAATTTTAAAGAGTTCATAAAGGGTACTTTTAATTCTTCTCCTGTGTAGTCCCTACAAGAACTCGCTACACGTACAATTGTCACTTGGAAGTAAGCAAGTGGACCCTACAAAGTTCAAATGATCTTACTGGGAAATCTGTCGACTTCTCGCACAGGCGTGAATAATACTAGAAATAATAATACAGGAGAAGGGTAAAATAAACGCTTTATTAGTTATAAAACTGTTAACACAAATGCACGTACTTCGTGCTTACAAAAATACCATTTTAATTACAAAAACACACTTGCGGTGGTGTATGAAGAGAAGTAAATGTATCAAGCTGTTTCTTAACTGTTGGCACAAATTTACTAAATTTAAAACTTCAATAACTACAAATAAATTTGTATTCATCAGTCCAAATGTGGAATAAAAAGAGCATTTTGCCCAATTTCCTACAAATCCATTATCCATTAAGATTCAAACAATAACAGAAACAGCATCACAGCCTTTCATTTGAAGGTCCCACTTTAAGTTAAGTGCTGTCCTTAAGCTTGTCAACCTGTCTTGAGTTTGTTCATAGACGAACAAGCTGGCTGCATAGTGGGTTTTTATGGTTTTCCATGTGTATAATGCAACTATGAGTCTGTTTCTCTTAGAAAGTCCTCCATGAAGGCATCCCTCTCCTTAGGCATAGAGCTTTTGCTTATTTTTCCATCTTCTAACAACCTAACCATCAAATGCATTGTGCTTTTCTTCTTGGTAACTAGTTCAAGACATTAGTGATTTTTCAACATTGAGCACCCCACAGATAACACTATACATTTCCATCAGTTAGTGTTTTGTTCTAGAGAAACAGCATGTGAGGACAGTGCCCGCTTCCTGTTGGTGCAAATATCAAGTGTCCTCCGTACTTTATCATTCTATTAAAAATCAGCACAGCCTCACCAGTGGCTGAATGGTTAAGAACACTAAATACTGGTAGTTTAACCTGGGTTCAAAACAGGTGAATGGGCTGGCTGCTTGGTTGGTTTAGTTTATTTGCCTTATATTGTACTTGAATATGAGCCAGTCCCCTTAGAAAGTCCTCCACAAAAGCATCCCTTCACTTAGATAGCCCTAATGACTTTGCCATATTCAAATAACATAATCTTTCATTAAATTTGCATAATTCAACACAAAACATTTCAAGCAGAGTAATTCTCTAACCAAATATAGGAACAACACATAAAATAGTGAACACAGTAGAAACAAATAAAAACAAGTTATGCATAAAAAAACAAGGAAGACTGAAAAATTGTTGAATATTAAAAATAAAACTTAAAATTTAGTTCTAATAAACAATCTAGAACCTCTCCAAATGTGTGTCCAAATCCATATGTGTTGAAAACGTTGGCCTGAGCTAATTCTAATATGCACAAAATAGTAGCTTCAAGTGGAATTGTTACATTAACCCTCTGAGAGGCCCAGGTTTTTAGATCTATCATGAAGACCTGTATTGAAAGAGCGTTTATTAGCTAACTATATATATTTACCTATTTTCATAAACTTACATTCATCAAGATGGCATTTATATTATTAATTAAAGTAAGAAAAATATCTTAAATTAATAAGCTAATATATAATAAGTGACAAAAAATCTCATGACCAGATAAAGCCAGTAAAACTTTCTTCTGTGTTGAAGACTAACAGAAATATTTTTATCCTTTTTTTTTGTATTATAGCCCGCCAAAGAGATCGTAGATACTCCAAATGACAGGAATCATTAATCCAAACATTCTTACAAAACAAACAACTTATTTTATTAGTATATACAAAGGAATTTAAACCAATAAGAGATTAATTACAATTGCGATAAGCAGCGCTCACTTCTTCCGTTTGCTGGTAGCACATGATCTGTCTCTATTTTTTTAAATTACCAATGTTTCTTTTCTGATGTTGATGTTCCGGACAGCACAACTTTTCTTTTATTCATAATTGATGATCATTACAAGTCCCTCAACGAGAAGCACATTCGTCACCTTGGAGACAATGCTGCTCAGAGTTCAGAGAGAGAATCTGAAAATACAGTAATCCCCCCCCCAAAAAAAAGCAACACAGCGTGTATTCAAAACAATGAAATATAAGTGAGAGCTCGAAAATATGCAGCTTTCCCCAAAAATGATTTAATGAACACATAACTAACAAAAATAAATGTGACATTATATATATATGACATATACACACTGCCAGAAGTCAATACTACAATATTAAATTAATGCTATCGGAAGTATTTTGAATTTGTTGGGAAAGTAGGTTTTCTTTTTAATTTAATTTTGCTTACGAGTTAACTGATAACCTTGATAAGGTATCAGTATTCGCGTGGGAACTGCCTGTT